CTCTGCCAAATTGAGCACTCTTAATTTCCTTGATAGTACTGTTTTTGGGCTAACATTAATTGTTTGGAGTTTGAGGTTGCCACATTGTCTTCTACTTGTGTAATCCTACGGCAAAACGCATGCTTTTGAGTGTACTGTGTGTCGGTTTTGCCGGGTGTATATATCAGCTTTGTTGGTCGTGGAGACGTATTGGACTTGTTAATTTGAAATCCAATGCATGGAAGGAACTGTTCCATTATCAAACTGAAGTTTCTGAATGCCAAAAGCACATGTTTCCTTTCCGGATAAGTAGTGACATTAGGTAGAAAGGTAATTTAAAAGAAATAAAAGAAAATTATCAAAAAAAAAGAAATAAAAGAAAATTATCAAAAAAAAAAAGAAATAAAAGAAAAGGCAAATACTAACACGCTAAAAAATTGACAAAAAAAAAATAGTCAGCAATTGCCTTTTGAGTATGTTGGTGGAATTACCTTAGGTAACCGTGTGTATTTGCCGCTTAAAATTGACAAAAAAAAAAACACGCTAAAAAATACTACTAGTATTTAACTTAAGAATGATGTAAAATACTACTAGTTTTTGAGTTTCTTATACACTTCTATTGTATGTTACTTGCTTGTTGTTTGACTTATAAAATATTAAAGGGTGCAAGGAGCTAAAAATTGTGTATAAATATTTTTATCTTAACTTAAAAGAGAAAAATAAAATTGCTCTAACGAGCGGCACTATAAAAAAGAAAACTAAAAGGGAAAAGGGGGAAAAAAAGAGTACGTGGAGGCCAAATTTTAAAATTTTATCCCATTTCCTCCCATTATGATATTAATGCGATAAAATTAAGGGATAATTTCAGAAACCTATCCCTGAGGTGTCTGACAATTTCATTGAACTCCCCTGAAATTTGAAAATTACACATACCTTCCTTGATTTGATAATCTTAGTAACAAAGCTTTAAAATAATATTGGCTTGATCAAATTTTTAAATGAATACCCAAATATGTCTTTGTGTAATGAGTTTTAATTTACTTCCCTATAGAATTATAAGATTATCTAATGTAATTATAAGGGAAAGGTACCGATCTTTTCATGTCCATATTTACTATTTGATAAATAATTATAATAATAATTTTATCACTATGATAGGATACTTTTAATGATATTTTATTATAAATTTTGATTTATAAGATAAAAAATAAAATGTTGAAATAATTGATTCAGAGTTTATAAATTTTTTGAGTAGTGAGATTATCATAATTTATTAGTGATTTTGGACAATTTCTTTTTAATTTAATGTTAATTTTAATACCAAAAAATAGAAAACAAAGATTAGCAAAAAAAATTGAATTAAGTATATAGTTAACACGTCAAAAAAATCATTAATTCGACATTTGATTATAATAGAAATTAGAGATAGTAGTGGTAATTTTATAATTTTATTAGCAAAAAATTAACATAAAAAATAATAAAAAGGAAAAAGAATGAAAAAATAGTTTTAAAATCATTCTAAGTATATGCATATCAAGTAAGGAAATTTTATTAAAATATTTAAGGGTAATATTATCATTTAAATGACGTATGTATAATTTTTCAAACCTCAGAAGAACTTAGTGAAATTGTAAAAAATCTCTGGAGAGGTTTTTGAAATTATCCTTAAAATTAAAAAAAAGGTGATATGACTCTACCACATTACATTCGCCGGCCCCAACTCCTCCCCCACCTCACCTCCTCTCTGCCCCCTCTTAAATTTTGGAAAGCTATTCTACCCAAAAAAAAAAAAAATAGACTACTAATTTTTTAACAACTTTTGCTACAGGAATTTCAAAAAACTTTCCAAAGTTTTTTATCTACACACTTAAAATATCCAAAACACAACAAAAAAAAATTCCCTTCCCCTTTTCTTCTTCTTCCTCCCCCACCACCACCTCCGTCACCGGCTCCGGCGCCAATTTCCGGTGCCGGTGCCGGTCTTCTTTTTTTTTCCCCCTTTTTTTCCCTCTCCCCCTCTTCCTGCCCTGCCATCCTCCCATCTTGTCTTTTTTTTTTCTTTCTGCGTTTCCCCCATTTCCTCCCCACCTCTCTGTGAAAAAAAAGAAAGAAAAGAAAGATGGTGAGAAGCGGGAAGGGAAACAGGGGAGGCGGGGGTGGGAAAGGCGGGGCAGAGGTAGTGGCGGGGGAGGGGTGGCGGGGGAAGGGGTGACGGGGAGAGGGAGAAGGCGGGGCAGAGAGGGTGGCGGGGGGAGGGAGGTGGCGGGGCGGGGCAGAGGGATAAGGCTGGGCAGAGGAGTGGCTGCTGGTGGAGTGACTGCTAGGGGTGGCGGAGGTAACGGGGAAGAAGAAGAAGAAGAAGAAGAAGAAAAGAAAAAGGAAAGAAAGAAAAAGAAAAAGAAAGAGAAAGAGAAAGAGAAAAAGAAAGAAAAAAAAAGAAAAGGGCGTGGCGGAGGTAACGGGGAAGAAGAAGAAGAAGAAAAGAAAAAGGAAAGAAAGAAAAAGAAAAAGAAAAGAAAGAGAAAGAGAAAAAGAAAGAAAAAAAAAGAAAAGGGGGTGGCGGAGGTAACCCGGAAGAAGAAGAGGAAGAAAAGAAAAGGAAAGAAAGAAAAGAAATGGAAAAAGAAAGAAAGAGAAAAAAAGAAAAGGGGTGGCGGAGGTAACGAAGAAGAAGAAGAAAAAAAAAAGGAAAGAAAGAAAAAGAAAAAGAAAAAGAAAGAGAAAGAAAAAAAAAGAAAAAAAAAAGAAAAGGAAAAAAAAAATTTCAGCATAGAAAAACTTCTACAAAATTTTTTCAAAAACTTCTACAGTGCATTACAATAAAGGGCCTGTTTGGAAGTGGGTTTTTGACCCAGTTTTTTACCTACTAGTTTTTTAACAACTTTTGCTACAGGAACCCCAAAAAACTTCTCAAAACTTTTTACCTACACATTTCAAAAATACACAAAAAACTTTCCATTCAACTTTTCTTCTTTTTCCTCCACCACCCAACCCACCACATCGTCCGCCGCCAGCCACCACCTCCACCATCACTTCCGGCGCCGGTTACTATTCCGGCGGTCAGTTCCGGCCATACACAATTTTTTTTTCTCTCCCTCCCCCGCCCTCTTCCCCCTTCCCCTTTCTGGCAGTTTTTAAATCCTTCATTTTCAAACACAAAAAATGAACATAAAAGCCCAAGAACCGAACAAGCAAAATCATAGCCCAAAAAAGCCGAAAAAAGGGCAAAAAAAGTGCAGAATGGAGGAATTGGACATCAAATTCAACGTGATGGTTTCCTTATTCAACTGGATGTAGAAAAGCAAATCCTCCACGACAAAGCATTGCCAGTTCTCCAAATTCCTCGATGCTTTTTGCCGGAACCGCGGGACTATTTCAGCGCCGTCCGCACGGTGACGGGGGGAGGGGGTTGCGCTGGGGAAAGGGCAGGGGGGTGGTAGGGAAGGAGGTCACGTAGGGGAGGTGACGGGAGAAGCTGGGGAAAGGGCAGGAGGTGGCAGGAGAAGCTGGGGGTGGCGGGGGGAGGGGGAGTGGCGGAGAAGCTGGGGAAAGGGCGGGGGGTGGCCGGAGAAGCTGGGGAAAAGGTAGGGGTGCGCGGGGGAGGAGGTCGCTCTGGCAGAGGAAAGGGCAGGGTGGCGGAGGGAGGGGGAGTGACGGGAAAAGCTGGGGAAAAGGCAGGGGGTGCGCGGGAGGAGGGGGTCGCTCTGGCAGAGGAAAGGGCAGGGGGTGGCGGGGGGGAAGGCATCGTGGTGGCAGAGGGGGAAGGGGCACAGGGGGTGGCGGGAGGTGGAGGGAGGAGAAGGGAAAATGGAGGAGAGGGGTGGGCGTGAGTGCTGCTGGGAGGTAACGGGGAGGAAGGAAAGAAAGAAAGAAGAAGAAGAAAAAGGAAGAAGAAGAAGAAGAGAGGAAAAAAAAAAGAAAAAGGAAAGAAAGAAAAAGAAAAAGAAAGAGAAAGAGAAAAAGAAAGAAAAAAAGAAAAGAAAAAAAAAAGTTTTTCACCTTACAAAATCTTCTACAAAATTTTTTCAAAAAATTCTACAGTGCACTACAGTAAAGTTTTAGACAAACTCCCAAAAAACTCAGGTTCCAAACAGGTCCAAAGTTTTATCCAAACAGGCCCAAGACTTCCTAGGATTTACTTGAAAGAAAAAAAGAAAATACAAAAGTCCTAATCCGAGGAGACATCGACTACCGAGTGCCGAGATGCGTTGGAATTCTTAAAGATACGGACTTGAGAAGTCAAATTTAGGAAACAACCAATCGCCTATAAATATACAAGGCTAGAAATCACCGCTTGTTATTACCTCTGTTTTCACATCGCTCTGTCCTATTTCTCTCTCTGAAGATATATATATATTTTCTCAATATTAAGATTTAGGGTCGATTTGGGCGTCTCCGGCTGAAGAAAGATAGGTTTTTGTGCAGTGTCGAGTTCGCCGCATAATTGCAATATATCGTATCCAGACAGGTTTGCTATCTCTCGCGCGAATTTAAACGTTCTTCAATACATCCTTCTGCTCAGTTTGGCTTTTAGGTTTGCATAATTTTCGTTTTCTGATTATTTAATCGGCGCCAATGGGACTTCGGGAATGGATCTGCTATGCTTCGACTTCGATTGCATCGGATTTTCCCGCTTGTCCGCTGTGGATTTCTGTGCTTTTCCAACTTTTACTGTTTAGGGTTTCGTGATTGTATATAAATATTGGCCTTTTTCAAAACAAAAAAAAAAATTTTTTTGCTTCGTTTATTTTTCTTGCTGATTTTTTTGGGCACAACGGTTTAGCTTACACGGAGTCTAATTGACTGGGGAAATCGGGGGTTTTGACGGTTGGAATTGAATTGAGGCTTCCATCAAAGGGCATAAATTTGGGAGCGAGGATCCGCCTCGCCTTTCCATCAATCTGTGTAGCTTTCTCTTTATCTCTTTAGTATCTAATCAGCCGATGGTGGAGTTTTGGTACTGTGAAGGTGGATTTCTTTTGTTGGATAATTGGTCAGAGGCGAGTTTTGGTTCTTTTAAGCTCTTTAAGCTAAAGAATTTATTTTGTGCATCCGCATGCAAGTTCGGGTTCTACATGAGAATCAGAGATCAAGGATGAAACTTGATATGGGATTTAGTTGTTTTAGTCATTGGTTCTTGAAATTTAGGAATTTGAATTGGATGGAGTTATTAATACTTGGTGGGTGATCGTCGTTCTCTTCAGATTTTTTTGATTTAGAATGATGGATATCGAGACGGGAGGCTATGGGAGGACAAACAGACCAGTTTTTGATCGACTTGAAGGACAGCAGTCGCAGCACCTCTATGTCAAGAATCAAGTCTGTAAATTCTGGCTTGCTGGACAGTGCAACAGGAACCCGTGTAGGTTTCTTCACTCACATTCACCAAACCCACAGCCACAACCTAAATCAATCCCACAGCCACAACCTCAGCAATCAGATGACCCAAATGCTAATTATGGGAACAAAATTAAAACAACTTGGAGGAACCCCAACATCTCTGCCTCCAAGAATGTGAAAGTTTCTTCTCCTATGAATGTGAAAGTTTCATCCCCTGGAGTGGTGACCTCTGATGTTAATTGTGGTCATTCGGGTCAGAGGGCTCAGCAAAAGCTATGCCAGTATTGGGTTACGGGAAATTGTGTTCATGGCGATAAATGCAAGGATCTGCACTCATGGTTTTCTGGCTCTGGGTTGGCCTTGTTGACGAAGTTGGAAAGGCACAATAAGGCCGTTACTGGTGTTGCCCTTCCATGCGGTTCTGACAAGCTCTTTTCTGGCAGCAAGGATGAATCTGTGTGCCTTTGGGATTGCAACACTGGCCAGTGTGTTGGTATTGTTAAACCTGGTGGGGAGATTGGATGCTTGATCAGTGAAGGTCCATGGGTGTTTGTGGGTCTGCAGAATGCTGTGATGGCATGGAACATCCAGACCCAGACAGAGCTTCTCCTTAGGGGACCAGTTGGCCTAGTTAAGGCCTTGGTTGTGGGTGGTGATATGCTCTTTGGTTGTGCACAGGTATATACGTATACTATCATATTTGAACAATCTGTTGTTCAGTAGTTTTTTGCTTCTAGTAATGACGAGTTCTCGACTTAATTGTTGTTCACTACTGAATTTTAAATGCTTGTCAACTTCTTGGTGGCAGGATGGTTCCATATTGGCTTGGAAGTTCAGTTCAGAGTCCAGTTGCCCAGAACTTGTGGCAACTCTAAAGGGCCACAAGCTTGCTGTTCTATCCCTTGTTGTGGGAGCTGGTAGGCTCTACTCAGGGTCCAAGGATGAAACAATAAGAGTACGTGTCATGATACACAAGATTTTGAAGTTAATTCCTGCGTTTCTGAATTATAGAATTGTTGGGCTCATTGAATTTTAATCTTGAATTTCATGTTCGACTTTCAGATGTGGGACCTAAAAACCTTGCAGTGTCTGCAGACACTAAGTGGTCATACTAATTTTGTGACCTCTCTCATTTGTTGGGACTGCTATCTCTTATCCGGATCATTGGATAGTACATTAAAGGTGTGGGCAGCAACTGAAAGTGGAGATGTGCAAGTAGTTTATGAATTTAAGGAAGAAAGTGGTATTCTTGCTCTTAGTGGAATAGAAGATTCACAGTCCAAGCACATCCTGCTTGTTTCATGCAAAGACAATACCGTTCGCCTATACGACCTGCCATCGTGAGTGTCGTCACGTTCATAGATTCTTGATTTATTTGTTTTTTTTGGGTGGAAAGATTTTGTTGATGTTCCTTCATCTGATAAATGGATTCATTGTTTTGAACTTCTACAGATTTTCTGAAAGAGGCAGAGTATTTGCTAAGAGAGAAGTTGAGGCCATTGCCGTAGGTTGTGGTGACCTGTTTTTCACTGGTGATGCTACAGGACAGTTATCTGTTTGGAAGCTGCTTGGAGGGTCATCTGCAGAGGAGGGCTAAATCGTCGTGAAAGCCTCTCCTGGAACTGTAATAGAGGCCATTGCCGTAGGTTGTGGTGACCTGTTTTTCACTGGTGATGCTACAGGACAGCTGTCTGTTTGGAAGCTGCTAGGAGGGTCATCTGCAGAGGAGGCTAAATCGTCGTGAAAGCCTCTCCTGGAACTGTAATAGAGCTTTCACTTGTAGCTTTAGGAGGGGATTGATAAGAACACTCTCTTTCGGAGAGACTGAATATGTAAAAAACATGGAGACATCCTTTTATCTATCAAGTGTAAGATATTATCTTTTCGATTAAGTTGTCGAACTTATCACCAGTGGGTCTTTCTTTTTCCCTTTAATGATGATGCTACATCCAGATATTAAACCAACAAAAATGCATCCAACTTACCAGACTATCATAAGTTGTTTACTATTAAACTTACAATCCAAATGAAAATAGAACTGGGTCTGGGTGCAGTGCTATTACTACAAAAAAATAAAATTGATCAATTTCTACCCTTATAATCTGTATTTTTGGTCGCCATGAATAAAATCATCGTTTCGATGAACGAAATAAAAAATATAGGATTATCATTAAATTCTAAAGATTTAAGTATTTTTTAAATTGATATATTATTGGCAGTAAGTGTAGATCTTGTACAAGTGGTGGCATCGTATTGAGAGAGAAAATGTTACCTATACGTTAGTTTGGTATACCATGCATTTGCTTGCTTCATTTTTTGAATTGCTTTTCATATATATATATACATATACATATATACATATATATATATATATATATATATTGGGCAATCAAACGGGAAAATAAAAGAACTCAAACAAGAAAAGCAAAGAAAAAAGAGGGATAGGTTAAGTGATACGAAAAAGAAAGTGTAAGTGAGAGATTTCATATTCGAGACCTCCCATTCAGGGTGTTAAAAAAGAATTGAAAAATCGGGTAATCAAGAAAATTAAACTGGTCCAAACAAAAATATAGGATAAATAATGCATAATTTTTAAAATGATTAGGTTATTCGAACTTGTTTGAAAAATTAGGTTAGGGTATGGTCTGTAAAATAAGGTAAACAATCCATATATCAAAACTCGTATGCTCTTGAGATGCTTTCTTTCCTAGCTAGTTTGGGAGTTTAGAATAGAAAAGCAAAAAAGAAAAATGACATGTTAGAAAGGCAAAGAAAAGAAGAGAAATGATACGATCTTCATTTCAAATCGTTGGGAGTTTAGAAAAGAAAAGAACTTAAGTAGTTTCATTTGTTTCTAGTTGAAGACAAATGAAAAGAAATGATGGTTAAATAAGTTTCTTTACAAATATGGCCTTTCCATAAACAAAGTAAATAAGTAGTAATCTTTAGGAAACTAGTTCATTTGCTTCTGCATCCATCTAAAATTATTGCTGATAATAGATTTATTTTATGAGTCAATTTAGTAATAAATAGATAAAGTATTTATTAGTAAATTTATTGTCAATCCACCATAATTCTCAAGCCTTTAATGCTTAAGTCAAGCAAAACTAAAGTGAACCGTAGAAAGTAAAATAAGAATGAGAGAAATTTGATCGCTAACCTGTGAAAGAAAAAGAGTCCTAAATGAGCCACCTACTTTTTTCACGGCGCCAAAAAAGGAAGAAGAAGGTGGTATTTCGGCGAAAAAATCAACTAAAGCAGTTGGTTACCAGAAAAGTTTTAAACTTACTGTTTGGATGGCTGAGTTTTTCAAAAATTAATTTTTCAAATACTATTAAAATTTTTAAAAAATATTTTTAAAAGTATTCTAAAAAGTAATTTATGTTTTTTTAAATATTTAAAAAAATTTTAAAATATATTTTAAAAACTCTTCTATTTTTAAATATCTCAATATATTTTTTAAAAATATTTTAAAATATATTATAAATACTCTGTTACAATAAAATATTTTTAAAATATCTATAAAAATAGCTAATTTCATCGCACTTGTTCAAGATTTTTTAAAAATTTCACGAACAAATGCAAAGGCCTCGAGCGATGAGTTCCTCATTGACTCCTTAGATGATAGATCCACCTATTCACTCGGTGTAGAGTAGGGTTCCCATCCAAAGGACGTATTCCGGTGAAAGAATGTGAAAGGATTTTGTTCAAGAGAGGGATTCATCGGGAATTAAACACATCTGTATTGCCTTTTTAAGGGTATATTTGTCATATTAAAAAATTGCACTCAAATCATTCTTTTTCCTTGGACCCCAAGAAAGCAAAATCCTATAAAATCCTTCGTTTTCTTTATCCCATCTACTCCCAAACAGCGACAGAAAGAGGAGCGCATTCATCCAATTCCAAATCCCTTCCTTTCTATTCATTCCCTCCCTCCCTCCCTCCCTCGCAAACTAGCTGTAACTGTCCAACGCGCTTCCCTCTGAAGGAAAGATAGAAACTTTAGTTATCAAAGTTGTGAGTTTTCGTCAATTATCTCCGATCGATCGAAGCAAAGGTTTTTAGCGGAGTCGCATTCTGTCAGGGGGCATTTTGAGTTTTTGCATTCGCAGTCTCAGGTTTGCTGTTATCTTTTTCAAGAATCGATACATAAAACGTTGTTTGTATTCATCGCTCAGTTTGCCTTGGTTTCAAGGATGTTATTTCGAAAAGCGGGTCGTTTTTCTTCGCTGCTGTGGCCTTGGCGTCCGATTTTCGCTCATTGCGGCCTTGGAGTTTTTGGGTTTTCTTGTTTAGGGTTTCGTGATTGTGGATGAATTTTGTCGTATTGTTCTTGGAATATCCGTGATGATTCTGCAGAGATGACCGACTAGATTATCTGGAGTTCTCCTCAAAGATTGGGGAAATTAGGGTTTCTGAGTGATGGGTTTGAATAGTGGTTCTCATCAAGTGCTTACTTTTCAGAATGCTTTTTGGCCATTTTATCTGGTCCTCTTATTGTTTTATGGGCCGGTATTTAGTTCTTAGATTTTGGCGTCTGATTTAGCTGTTATTTGGAATTTTTGGTGCTGCTACGATTCAATTCTCTTCCACTCTGCTCGGTTGATTTAGTGATCAGAGGGGAAAATTAGGATTGGATTGCTTTAGCTTAAGATTTTCTACAGCTATGTGGTATTTTTTGTTTGTGCTTCTGCTATGGAGTCTGCCTGCAACCTGGATAGTTTTGGGATATCCGAGATCAAAGATCAGTGGTTTGGGGTTTTAGTTGGTCTATTGCATCGGATTGTTGCGGCAGGTTCTTTGCCAGAAAGCACAAGTTTTTTTCTTTTAAATGTTCCAAAGAGTTCTTTTTGCCTTTTTGAGTAATTGTGGTTTCTGCAAATTCTTTGCATTAGTATCATGGAAATCAAGACAGAGAGCAGGCCCATTGAGAAGCCAAGAAAAATGGTCTTTAATCGTTCTGGAAGCCTGCCCTATGGCAACAATCAAGTCTGTGGTTTTTGGCTTGCTGGGAAGTGCACTAGGAACCCCTGCAGGTTTCGCCATGTAGATTCACTGAAACCACGACAAGACCAGCCCCCACAACGACAAACACAACCAAAGCGACCCCCTCGGACATCATCCAATGGTCAAAGAGGCAATAAGTTTAGATCCACTTGGAGGAATCCCGACCTCTCCAACCCTAAGATTTTAGCAGTTTCATCCACAGAAGGTGTGGGTGCTGAAGGTAAAATGGTTCACGTGACAAAGAATGAGGTTTTGACCTCCAGAAGAGCTTGTTCTGTTGGTGGAAGTTGTCAGAAATCCCAGAAAAAACTATGCCCATATTGGGTCAGTGGTAATTGCGTTGATGGTGAAAAATGCAAGGATTTGCATTCATTATTCTCAGGCTCTGGGTTCTCACCGTTGACAAAGTTACAGAAGCACAGTAAGGTGATTATCTAATGAATATTTTATTTCTGGATTTTAATTTATTCTTTTCTGTTTTCCTGAAGCATCTTCCATCTTTCGCTTTTAATCAATTTATGAAACTTTTGGCATAGGCTGTTACTGGCATAGCTCTTCCTTCTGGGTCAGACAAGCTCTTTTCCAGCAGTAAGGATAATTCTGTCTGTGTTTGGGATTGCCACACTGGTCAGGTTGGCTTCTGTCCCTTCATCTGTGAAATTGATTCACTTTCTCCTAAATAAGGAGTGCTTCATTGGTATTCTATCTCTTGATGCAGTGTGTTGTGACTGCTGAACTCGGTGGTGAAATTGGATGCTTGATAAGTGAAGGCCCATGGGTATTTGCAGGTTTGCAAAATGCTGTACAGGTATGACAGTCTGAGAGCTTTTCACCATTATGCCATCATGATCAATTTTTAATATAGCTTTCCTGTTGGGACGTCTCTAATGATCAGGGCCCTGTTTCTGCACAATTATTACTTGGTATATTCACTTGTATTGTATGATAATTGTACGAATGTTCTTGTTGTAGGCATGGAACATCGAAAGTCGGACTGAGCTTGTCCTTAGTGGACCAAATGGCCTAGTTCATGCCATGGATGTGGGTGAAGATATGCTTTTTGGCGGAGTGCAGGTACCTACCATCAGTTATTTGAGTTATTCCTAATTTTGCTAGCATTAGTTCCTTAGATTGTAGATTTGATAATTTTCTTAATTTGTATATCTAAGTTTTATATTGCCAAGTGACTAGAGTTAGTGTTGTATTTCTATGTTTGTAATAATTTGTTTGTGGCAGGATGGTTCCATATTGGTGTGGAAGTCCACATCAGTGTCCTGTTCCCCTGAACCGGTGGCTTTTTTAATGGGCCACAGATTTGCTGTGCTCTCGCTTGTTGTGGGAGCTAATTGCCTCTACTCAGGTTCCGAGGATGAAAGCATAAGAGTATGGTCCCCTTTTATGATATTCTCCCTGTTAGAGTACCTTTAATTAAGGATTATCAGTATCAGTAGTTCTTTAGTTGAATCTCTTAGTACTTTTTTGCGATGACATTTTGCATATGGATGCAAATTAATCTATCCTTAGTCTAAAACATAAAGTTTCTCATATATTTGGATGATTGTAGTCCTCTTTAGTTCCAGAAATTTGTGCTTTTCATCCTTTCTCTCGTTTGTTTCATTGCATCTGATTTTTATTGTAGATAACGTTTTATTAGCTGATCTTTGCATGTTGTTTTCGTACTTTTTATATGTTATTTCAACCTTGGCATCTTCAAGAAAAATGGTACTGATGAGCTGAAAAATATTGTGACACGTTTGGGTGCAACTGGATTGAAGATTTATGAAATTTGTTTTGTTTCTTATTGGATGTTTAGTTGTTTTCAAGTTCAGAAAAATTAGAATGACCCTTTTCCCCATCATCCCCTTCAGAAATTAGAAAACAACAATGATAATTGAACGTAGTCCTCCTAAGTCTTGTAAATATGTAGGTTTCCCACCCTTCTTCCCCCTCCCCCCAAAAAAAAGGAAAAAAAATTAAAAGAAAGAAAATAATCCTTAATGTCTGTGGCCGCCATTGGCTGTAGTTGCTGACACTGCACAGGATTTCGTAGTTTGGTGTCTCCTTTACAAAGTTGCACTTTCTTGTCTCATTCACTTCTATGGTTTTTAACTTTCAGGTGTGGGACCTGAAAACTTTGCAGTGTCTGCAAATATTAAATGGACATAAGAATTTTGTCACGTCTGTCCTTTGCTGGGACAAGTTTTTGCTGTCTGGTTCATTGGACAACAGATTGAAGGTGTGTTTTGTTGCCTTTCCGCTTAATAGCCACTTTCTTGATTTAATGATAAAGTTTTATTTTTGTTACGTGCATTCTTTGATCGTTGGTATACTTTGTGCTTTTTGTAGGTCTGGGCAGCAAATGAAATTGGAGACTTGGAAGTAGTCAATGAAGTGGAAGAAGACAATGTGAGCACATTCTACTTTGGGTGCATCCATAGCAAACAGCATCAAACTGTATTTTATCTCTACATGAAGCTGATTTTTAATATGAGATCCTAAATGTGATGATTTTCCTCTAATTCAGGGTATACTTGCTCTCTGTGGAATAGAAGATTCACAGTCCAAGCACATCCTGCTTGTTTCATGCAAAGACAATACCGTTCGCCTATACGACCTGCCATCGTGAGTATCATATTTGTAGGAAAACTTCAATACTTTTTGTTTTTTGGGGGGCTCTCATCTTGTTAATGAACCCAGTATTTTCTTTACTATTTGCAGTTTTGCTGAGAGAGGCAGAATATATGCACAGGAAGAGGTCCAGACAATTGCAGTTGGTTGTGGCCCCCTGTTCTTCACCGGTGGTGCTGCAGGGGAGCTGTCTGTTTGGAAACTGCATGGAGATGCAAGCGGAAGTGTTGGATGTTCATGAGAGCCCATAGGTGGTTGGCTTTCTTTTTTGGGGATTAAAATTATTGTCGCATATATGGGATTTTAGTTTGTTTACTGTATCATTTGCCAAGGTTGTCTAACAGTCTTGTAACGAAATAGCGAACAAATCAGGCTTTCTTTTTGTGTGGGAGGCATCCCAATTTGTGATCTCACGTGTAAGGTACTTTCGGGAAAGGGGGAATATTCACATTTCACTATCAGAATCTATTTTTTTCGTTACTTGCATTCGCAGAATCTATTTTATCATATAATCTTCATAGAAAAATGATAGTGAAAGTGTAATTAACAAAGATGGAAGTGCAAATGACATATCCAAGTGTATTATTTTCCTTGCAAAAGTATTACGTACATTGAAGTATTAGAGATGTCCAAGTGTATCTCGTCTTAGATTAAGAAGACATTTACCATATGCTTCAGTTTTTACCGTGCAAAAATAACTGTTGCTTTTCCAATAAGGCCTGCTGGGCATTCATATCCCCTGACTAAATTAGTACAGTTTCTAGGAGTTTTCTGTTTCAAAGTTATTGACAAAAGGTCTGCTTGAAACTTTTGACAGATTCAACCCACCTCCTATTCAAAGTTGAACTCCAGTATCCATAGAAACTGGTCAAGATATATACCTTTGCAGTTTCGTGATCAAATCCTAAACGAAATTGTGCTATTCGTAGCAAGCCAGCTGATTCAGTTGATTTTTGGCAGTTGGGTCCGTCCAGCAAGGAAAGTCAGGTCACGTTATCGTATCGTGGCCCCTAGGGAAACCGCCCATGTCAAATACTGACGTACGTTTCCAAACTGCACTCAAACTCTAATCTTCATTTGCTCCCCTTTTAATCTTCTTCCGCCGACAACAATCAAGATGGCTTCCATGGAAAATACTCAAAAAATGAAGCCCAGAAGAACTACTACATCGAGATCAACCATACTAGCCCATGCAGCCGCGTTGTCTTTTTCTGCTGTTCTTCTTGTGATGATCTTATTCTTCAGCACCTTTTCTTTCAGCTTCAGAGAATATGATCATCAGCTTCTGGGGCCAGTCTGTGATGAAATCTACGTAGTTGCAGAGGGAGAAACGCTTCATACCATCAGTGACAAGTGTGGCGACCCTTTCATCATTGAGCAAAACCCTCATATTCAGGACCCTGATGATGTTTTCCCCGGACTCATCATTAAGATCACTCCAGCAACAGCTTCTTCTACCGTGTAATTCATAATCTGTTTCTTTTCCTTTCTATTGTATTTGTCATGATTAAGATACATGTTGAAAAAGTTTCAGCTGCCTCGATCCTACATATTTACTTTGAATTGGATCCCAAGAGCTAGCTGTATGTGTTACATCAACGGTATTGTTCAACCATCGTCTTCTTGTAAATGAGTGCCTTTTCAAGCTTTTGCTTTGCAGCAGTATGTTACAGTTTCTGCTCTTATTCGTCCTTTCTTCTGTACATTTTAAACAATTCTTTCCACAGGGTTAGGTAAACTCATGTATGTAAGTTGTTGACCTTGTCCTTTTAATTTTCTTCGTAGAGATTTATGAGTTTGTCAGAATTTTCTTTATGTTCATTGAAAGTTGCGGGCCATATCAAGCACAAATTGCTTGCCCTCTCCCATTAAGTAGACAAAAAGTTACTCTAACCCTGTTGGGGCTCAGTTTATTCTCAACTTCTAGTAATTTCTGTCCTAAATATGACAGTTTGTTCTTGTCACTCAAAGGCAACACAATGTATGTAGCTTCTCGATGGTGTTAAAATGTACTTGTCGCTTGATTAAGCCAAAAGGCCGAGAAAGGTTTAAATGTACTTTGTCACAAAGTTAATTGAGTTTCCATTGACTTTTTGATATCATTTCGCCGAGCACATGATGATAAAACTTCAGACTAAAAGCACAGTTAAAAACGTTCTACACTTCATCGCGTGTCTCCTTATGACTTGCAAGTAGGCTTTGGGGCATAGTAACTTATTTCTCCTCGTGTCGTCAATCCCACCCAACCCCCACTAATAGAAGAGCCCATATAGTGCACCCACCAATGGATTAACAGAATACCGAAATAGGTGCAAAATTTTATCTTCTTTTTTCAGAGGCTGTTTGGGTCATTATTTTCTAGAGTTTTTATAAAAGAAAAATATATTATAACGACTTGATATATCATAGTTATTAAACCCGATTCGAAACTCAATCCGGAGAGGTGATCGGGTCACTGGTTCAACTGCGGGTTGTATAATAATCATATTATACAATATAATAATATATTTTAAATTATAAAAATAATAAAATTTTTAAGTTGGTGGCTCAACCGGTGGTTTTATTTCGATTCACCAGTTCACCGAGTCGACTAATTTGACCATCGGGTCAGGTCAAGTTTTCTAACTATGTGATATAAGTGAAGTAAACAAGTGATTGGAAAATAGATTCATGGAAAACGTAAAAAAAATTTTGGAAAAAAATGCAATCCAAAATCTTTTGGATTTAAGAGGGAACTATAATGGACCTTAGGGGGAGGGATGGATTGGATGGTTCGGAAGGAGGGAGTGTAAGTAAGAAGTTTCGAATTTAAAGCCTCCCACTTATGTTAAAAAAAAAAAAGAATGGACCCCAAAATACATGACACATATCGAATCTCTACACTACATTTTAAAAAAAAATTCTAGAAAATAACAATCCAAACAAGATCTAAATATTTCTTTGAGGAAATTTCATAGAATTGATATGCGTAAAATGATTTCCCTAATCACCAGATTACCGGATAAAGTTTTTCAACCAATCATTTCTCGAAACTTATCATGGTAAAGAAAGACGAATAGCTACTATCATCATTAGATGTGGTATTATTCGGAAATTGTGGTAGTTTATGGAAAAGTATTTCACTTAATAAAATTTCTATTATAAGTACTTATTGAGTGCTTAAATGCATTATCTGAATCCAATATGTGTAAATACTTTCGAATTTTTGAAATATAATTTTCACTTTATTTAGTTCAGCATTCATGATAAAATTCTAAAAGTTTATTTTTATCTTTGTAGGATAAAAGTTATTTTAAACGCTCCAATAAAAATACTTTTGATACTAAAAACTCTACACCTAATTCCAAATGTTTACCAAACACCCTATAAAAGTGTTTCTATCTATTGGAGGAAGAAAATTCTTGTGGGATCACTGTCTAGTGAGTAGTGACCAGGCTGATGGATCGCCTTTGTCAAAGCAACTATCGTTAGTGACAACAATGACATGGGAATAGTAAACAAACTCTGAGATAAGGTTCTTGTATTTTGTCGGTGGCGTGATGGTAATCTTGTTCTGCAGAAGAGTTTGGGAGGTTTGGGACTTGGGAGTTCTTAACACTGTATCACTTTTGTCTGAGACACAATGAATGGCGAAGTAAAAAGATGGTTAAAAAATAAATAATTGTCAAAAAAATTGCAATCCAAACATGATATCAAATTTTTTTTTCTACAAAAGCATGTAAGTTTGGTGGTAATTTTAGAAGTATTGTAAATAAAGCTACTTCTAGTTTTGGGAAAAAAGTATGTTTTATTTTTCTTGTCTAATTCTAGCTCAGAGTTTTATGTCCTTAAAAATATGATGGTATCTGGAGGATGGGCTTTTAGCTATATTATACAAAATTTGATATTATGTGAGTGCATCATTACATGCGTTAACTGCCTTCTCAAATTCTAACAAAACAACAGAATAACCATAGCCATATATCGCTGATTACATCTGATGATCAAAATTTTGGGAAAGACGAACAAATGGTCCTTGAAATGAAAGCTACATCCAGCTATATCATAAAGGAGAATAGTTCAAATATTTCATTTTCACAGAAAATAACTTCTACTCTTCTAATTCATATACTCTCGATCTCGACTCGCGAGCGGCTCGAGTGAAGTTCGAGTCGAGTTCGACAAGTCGAACTTGAGTTCAAAATATTAAACTCGTGAGTCGGCTCACGAGATCGAGTTCGAGAAAACTAAATCAAGGTTCAGCTCGATTAGACTAAAAGTCGACTCAACTCGACTCGTTTGGAGCCCTAGTGTATGTGTGTCCGTGCGCGCATGTAAAGACTGAAACACTCGTGACCTATAAAGTATGCGTTTGAAGAATAGAGACATTTTAGTCTTTCACCTAATAGAAAACGAAAAAATGTGCATGAAACCAAAAAACGCATCATTATCCTTATTTTCACGGCCAATATGTTTAATTGCTTTAGGGCCACACCTGGCAATTGTTCTCGATCATGTTGAAGTCCTCATGTCTCCCGTATGGCATCTGTAACAATTGGGAGAGTTTTACGGTCCCTTTTTGGTACTGTATGGACATTTATTTACCGGAGGATGTAGAGGTAAAAATATATATATTATACAGGTCGAGAAGGCGACATTTCACTGGTGGCCAAAATCGATATGACTGAACAAGAATCTTGATGCAGAGCCTCAGAGAACAAAGTTAAAACTAAACCATTACTTTCAATTGTGGTAAATCTGCCGTCGAATTATCTTGCAGTTTTGTGCCAACCACGTTCAAAGTGGTTGCTATCTTTATTGTAACAATCAGTTAGCAATATTCATTAAGCAATCTAATATTGTGCCTTGTAGGCATTAGACCTAAATGTTAACTTCTTTATTTTTTTTCCCTTCTTTTGTTTTGGATGAAAAGAATCAAGAAAGTGATGAAAAGTAAGGGGATCGCGAGAGCAAATTAAAGATATATATGAGAGCAAATTCCACTTTACGCCCCTGTGGTTTAGCGTTTTTTACATAACCCCCATATGGTTTCAAAAACTATACATAACCCTCTCATGGTTTGAATTAAAGTGTCAAAGTGACGTAAATAGTCACTCGTAACGGTACATGACACATTCACCCCGTATGATTTTTATATTTTACTATATAACCCCCTTATGGTTTTCAAAATATACACATAACCCCCCTTGGTTAATAAATAATTTTCAACTTAACATAAGGGTATTTTTGACATTTTAGGTGACTCCGTTACGAATGGTCATTCCTGTCACTTTGACACTTTAATTCAAACCATAAGGGGGTTATGTATAGCTTTTAAAACCATAGAAGGGTTATGTAAAAAAACGTTAAACCACGTGGGCGTAAAGTGGAATTTGCCCTATATATGACAGTGATGGCAATATAGGTGACAAATTTTGTGTATTAGCATCCTACAACACAGAATAGATATAGGTGCTCATTAATCGAGAGGAGAAATTTTTGTAAGATTGATGCGGTTTCATATTTCTTTCAAATTTTGACCTAATCAAATCCTGAAATCCACCTATTTTCTGACTTTCTATAGCTTAATAAATTAATCATATTGGAGTTGACATAAATCCCAGCTTTGTAATTTAATTTTGTATGCATCTGAAACATTTCCTTGATTGGATTATCATATTCACACTTTCCGTGAATACACTTCTCAATCACTTTTTATCTCAGGTATATCAACTCGTTACATTACATTTTTTTTAAAATAAAATTTCAAAAAAAAAAAAAAAGTAATCCAAACGGGCTTATAACGTCCTTATAACTTGGTCCACAAAAAATGACTTTAAATTGTAGGGCTACAGATTAAAGGGCCAAGCCAACAAGAAACTAGTGTTTTCCTCGTGCCTAAAAGAATCTTTGAGTGGTGGCTATCCCTATCAGATACCTAGACATAACAATAGCTACAAGTGCCCTTCATTGTCACATATTTTTGAAGATCAAGTATGAAGCTTAATAGGCAAACATGTCAAGAATAAAGGAAGCTAAGTATTAAAATGGTTAGCTTTATGCTAATATATAAGCATTTCCTAAGCACAGCTGTGGAAGACAATCCAGAATCCTCTCTTAGAAGTCTTGGTGAAAATGAGATTTGAAACTATTTTTTAACTATTGATAGTGAAAGCTTCTGCGAAGCACCGATGGAACTTAATTATCTATTATGGTTAAGACATTATGAGACCATATATTATAATAGTATTAGTAACATAATGAGATTTGAATCCGAACCATAATACCTAATTTTAACCTTATATGATGGTGCAAAGAGAATTATGTAATTGATGGTCCCCTAATAGATTGGCATCATGTTAACAAAAAAAGACCCTCAAATCTTCAAACCCGCAATGACTTTGCAGTAGCATGCCTCCTCCGAATCATGTCTTGGGATATGACAGTACCCTTCACAGGGAAAAGCCAATGCTACAACAAAGACTTCAACGTTAATTACGCATTAATGAAAATGAATTAAAGCTGAACAATTTTAAAGAAGTCATCCGCACAAATAATAGCAGTATCGATAACTTTAGTTTTAAAGCAACTTCAATGACATTACACGACGATGTTGTCGTATAATTACTAATTTTATCATATCCTTCAGTTCTCTCTATTGCACGGATCGGGGACTCTCTAGTTCATTCAACTCAAGTCGATCTAATTTTTATAAATTCGATATAAATTCGTACGATCTTGATGTAATCGTAAATTCCAGACACAAGTCGACAAAATCTCCATTTACATCAAAATTAT